AGCTGGTGGCGGAGTCCCAGCTGGGGGTGGGTCCTCACCTGCGCTGCTCTGCGGGGCGGGGGGGTGGAGGTCGGGGGGGCCCTCTCTGCAGGCCTCTCTCCCTCCCAGGGGAAGCCTGGCAGAAACCCGAGACTGGGCCTCCAGCTCCAGGTCGCCACTGGGCCCGGCCTCGCCCGGCCACCAGGGACTGCGGAACAGGTAACTCCTGCGCCGCCCTCAACCCACCTGGCCTGTTGCCCCAGGTGCGGCCTGGAGGCCCCGGCCCGCACACCTGGTCAGCTCAGAGGCCAGGAACAGGAGCGGAGGGAGGGGTGGGGCCTTGGGCCGGCTGCTGCTGCTTTCGCTTTGAGCTGGGCACCTTCCCCTTCCTCCCTCCCTCCCACTCCTCCTCAGACCCCTGCTTTCTGGGAAATGCTGTGACAGCTTCCTCTGAACTCTCCCTAACCTGCCCTGGAGCCCAGGGCCCCCAGGAGGCTGAGTTCCGCCCGCCCCACGGGACCTGACACTTCCTGCGGGCCACACACCTCCACCCCCCGCTGCGTGGCCCCAGACTGCCCACCTTCTAGAAGGTTCTTTCTGTGCAGCCCCACCATGTCCCCACCCCGGATGGAGCTGTACCCCGCCTGCCCCACCTCGAGGCTCTGCACACAGGAAACCCCCGTGGCTCCAGGGAGGATGGCCTGACAGCCCTTGCCTCCACCCCGAACTGTGGACATTGGGGGGCTGCATGGTTCTCTGGGGTGGGGCTGCCCTGGGCACTGCAGGGTGCTGGGTGAAATCTGTGTCTGGGAGTTTCCAAGCCTCCCCTGGGTGGGGGGACAGAATTGTTCCTGCTGAGATCCAGTGAACTAAATGACAGTCTGGGAGGGAACAGAAATGACTTAGGCCTGGCCGGGTGCGGTGGCTAAAGCCTGTAATCCCAGCACTGTGGGAGGCCGAGGCGGGTGGATCACGAGGTCAAGAGATCGAGACCATCCTGGTCAACATGGTGAAACCCCATCTCTACTAAAAATACAAAAAAAATTAGCTGGGCATGGTGGTGCGTGCCTGTAATCCCAGCTACTCAGGAGGCTGGGGCAGGAGAATTGCCTGAACCCGGGAGGCGGAGGTTGCGGTGAGCCGAGATCTCGCCATTGCACTCCAGCCTGGGTAACGAGTGAAACTCTGTCTAAAAAA